TTGGGTCTCCATACCCAATGTGTACTACGATGAACAGTGCAAGTGTGTGAAATGTGTCCAAGCATGCCACTTGAAAAACATCTAACACCAAGAAAAGGGTTTACTAATCTATTCAGGTTACAGTGCCTTTTCCTATGTTTCAAAACTTTTAGATCAAGTTATCAAACTTCAAATAGCGCTCCTCCCTACTTTCAGCTTCATCAATATATGTTTTAAAATTAGTTCCAAGTGCAGTGTAGGATGCTTTCAATGAATCATGCTCAACGATCAACTCAGAATATTTTTTATTTATCTCATCAAACTTATCAAATAATGGCATGTGACTATTATTAATTTGGGCATGATCTTTATATAAAATTTCATGCTCTTTTTGCAACTTTAAAAACTCCAATTTCAAACTAGCATGCAATTTTTGAGTTTTATATATGATGCATGAATTTTCTCACAAACTTCAAGTAATTGTTTGTAACTTTGTTTGCATACCTCTTATTGGTCAAACTGACCAAGATGATCATCCGCCATCAAGCATAAGTTTGTAGTCTGCTCCTCAGCTTCAGTCTCAGTGGAGTCAGATGTAGAATCTACCCAGAATGCCTTTTGGGGTTGCTTCTTGTCCTTCCTAAACTTGGGTTTCTCCTCACCCTTCTCGTTGATTGGGTGAGTCTTAAGTGTAGGGAAATTAGCTTTAACATGTCCCGGCTTCCTACATTCAAAACAAATCCTATCAGAAGAACTTTCAAAAATTTTGCTATCCTTAACCTTTTTTCCACTTCTAATGGTGCTTGTGATTTTTCCTTAGAAAGCTTTGAATTTCCTAGTGATTAAGACAACATCATCGCTTTCAGACCTAGAAGAATTAGTATACATATCATTAGTTTTTAGTGCCATAATTTTCTCCTTCTTTTTCTCACTTGCATCAAGTTGTCTTTGGTTCACCCCTTGCTTGTAAATAATGTGTGATCCAAGTAAGTTATCTATAGAATAAGTATTCAAATTCTTAGATTCAGTTATTGCAGTAATCTTAGCATCAAAGGAAGAAGGCAAGCATCTCAAAATCTTATTAGCTTTTTCATAATTTGTGAGTTCTCTTCCTAAGGTATATAATGGATGATAATTTGAGTAAACCAAGTATACATGTTAGAAATTGATTTGGTATGTTTCATACAAAAAAGTTCATAGTCATTGGCTTGGAGCTGAAGAGTAAATTCTCGGGCAAGAGTTTAGCTTCATTGGCTTCTCTTCTGCATGATACAGAAATGATGTCAGTGGAATATGGGAATTGGCTTAAAAAACTTCAACTAAATCTTAGAGTTGAATGTTTTTGGTGGAGGCTATTCATTGATGCAATTCCTACGAATGGATTCTTGATGCACAGAAGGCTGCTGGATAATTGTTTATGTCCTAGAGGTTGTAATGAACCGGAAAATTCTGAGCATATTATGGTTAATTGTTTAAAACTGCATCAAGCTATTAATGATCTAAATGAATGGGGATTTCAGATTCTAGTTTTCTCCTCCTACAATGAATATAAGAACCAATTGGGACGGCTAGCTGTTGTCAATAAATTCATTGTAAAAATTTATTGCTCCTTAGTATATTTCTCATGGAAAAGTAGAAACTTGATTAAACATGGAAAGCAAGAGCTGAGTTTAATATATATATAGCCTCTAATGCTATTAGTTTTGAATCAATTTCAAATTCTAATCAGTTCATGGATCACTGGGATGCTAACCACTCGGATAAGCTATTTTCTCATTAGCATCCTCCTCCCCCAGAATGGATTAAGGTTAATCTTGATGCGACTTTAACAAAATGCAATAATGGTGGGGTTGGTGGAGTTTTTAGAGACTCAAAAGGGAGATTCTTACTTGCTTTTGGAATCAATTGCACTCATTGGGATAGTGGTCTATTGGAGCTAATTGCCTTTCTTTCATTAAAGAAGATCATCCTTGATTGGATGTTGGATGCAAAGGGGATTATTATAGAAGGAGACAATATCAACATTATTAAGTTTTTGCAAAATTCTGTGGATAAAGGAAGCCGAACTTTACATAATGATGGGATTGAAGATCTTTCTTTTTTGGATGGTTTCGGTAACATTCTATTTCTTTTTGTTAATAGAAATTGTAAGAAGTTAGCCCACTTTTGTGCTAACTTTGCATTAAATGGTGATTTTCTTTGGGAAGATCTTAGTTGTAATAATATTCCTCCTTTATTTAGTTCTTTATTAAAGGAGGAATGTGATAGCTTTTCTATCACCTTGTAGTATGTAATAACTTTGCTTTTTCATTAATGCATTTAGCATTTCTCAAAAAAAAAAAAAAGTTCATAGTCATGAATAAAATATTCAACCTAGATGACTTAACCTCATTTGTTCCTTCATAAGAATACACAATTTATCCCAAATTTCTTTACGAATAGTAGAAATTGAAATATGTATATAATCTTCTGATTTCAAAGCACAGAAAAAATAGTTTAAACATTTTGCATTCAATTGTGTTAAATCCCTATCATCAAAAGTCCATTTAATAAAAAGAGGTTTAGCTTTAATGCCATTAATTTCACATTACGGAGGTGAATATCCATCCTTAATAAGCATCCACATACGAAAGTCAATCGATTGTAAAAATATATACATGCAATTTTTCTAAAAATCAAATGGAATGTTATCAAACAAAGGTGGTCGGGTAAAAGAATATTCTCCTATAGTATTATGATTATTGAAGTTAGCCATGGATCAAAATTCAAAAGTTTAAAAAAAATTTTTTTTTATGAATCCCGCTCTGATACCACTTCAAAGTTCATCACGGATGTTAAGCTCTTCTGAACTAGCCCGAAGCTAACCAAGATGGGGGGTTAATTTTTGTTTTAAAAATTCTTCAAAAAAAATCACAAACATAATAAAATAATCACAATAGAAAATCTAAGTACATAAATTAAATGTGAAAAAATAATAAGAAAGAACACACCAAATTTTATAGTGGTTTAGTCAACTTGACCTACATCTACTCCCGAAACATCTCCTCCGGGTATTGCACTAAACTCAGTGTCTCTCCTTTTGCCCCCATAGAAAGGTGGAGAAGCCCATACAAAAACTCCTTTCCACCAACACCGATACGGTAGAGAACCCAACTCCTATTACTTCCACCTAAATAAGGTAGAGAACCTGACTCCTTTCACTTCCTCCTGAAGCAGGAAGAGAACCTTTATTAATTACTAAAGTAAGCCTCTCTTGAACCTCCAAGGAACTAGAGATGATGACTCAGATCCTAACTTGGAGCAACCTTTATGAAAGCCCTCACAAACTCCCCCTTATAAGATCCTCTCCCTCTCCCCCTTGCTCTCCCTCTCCTCTAGGTTCTCTCAGGTCAAGACAGCAGCAAAAAATCTCCTCTTGAGTAAATAATAGATCTTATATAGAAGGGCTTCAAATTTTCCCTAATTTGTAATTAATCATCAAAGATCATCGAGGATGATTGACTAATCATCTTCTACGACCAGTTTAAATTAGGCTCAATCAGCCATGACAATTTGGGAGAGTCTTGATGATTAGAAGGTTCATTTGTTCTGATTGTCCAGTATCATCTTGTATGATTAGTTCAAGTCATTGAATACTGTCAAGAACATTACCCTGAATGGATGTCTGGATGATGAAAAAATAACTATATCATGTAGGACAATCGCACGGTCATCTGGGATGATTAGTACAAAATGATAAATATCATTTAAAACATAGCTCAAGATCCATGTCTAGATGATGAAAAAACAACTGATCGTCTAGGACAATTTTGGATCATCCCGGATGATTAGTTCAAATCAATATATAGCATCTAGAGTATCGTTCAGGTCATCCTAGAAGAAACGAAGGTTTTTTTAACTAATCATCCTGGACGATCCTTCAACCATCCAAGATGATATGATCAAGCAATCAAACCTTAATTAATTTCTTTAATTACCATACTTATTTAGGCATAATTACACTGATTCTTTCTTATTCTAGTTTATTATTCAGGACGATGATATTATCATCCAAGATGATGATAATATCATCTAGGACAATTTGCTTAATTTCAACTTCCTTAACCAGGATGCCGTAATTAGGGTTTTTTTTTAACTGGTCATCAAGGATGATTTTGGATCGTCTCAGACGATGTGATCATAAATACAAAACACTAAAAATAGATAAAAATTTTCTTTGAGTGTGTGTGTGCAAGGTTACTTAGCATTAGGACCCACTTTATTATAATCGACTCAAGAAAAGGAAAAAACCCCTTACAGACAGACTCACCACTAGTCTACCCAATCCTGAGCTGGCTTGATTTGCATTCGACCTTGTGGACCTGAAATGTTGTAGAATGGCATTCGTAGAAAAATAGAAGTATCAAAAATTTTTTGCTATCATCAAAATTAAATTTCCTAAAAATAGATTCACAATAGATCTCCCAAATCTTTTCCACTTTGATATTATGACATTGTTATTCTAATTTTTAATAATTAATTAACCTTGCATGGTGCCTTCTTTGACCCTAAATTTTTCTTAGAGCAATTAATTAATTATTCATTAAATTCCAAGTTGTATAATAATATTTTTTAAAGGTATCTTTCAATTCTTATTATGATGGAATTGTTCAAAATTTAAGTGATAAAATTGTAATGCTATATGTCACTACGTTTAGATGCTTAAATTTCTAGGATCTTTGTTGATATTATCATACCCGTCTATCCTAGTTTTAACTTTCATGTTATCTAATTTCTTCAAAATTGATGCAACTTGTGTAGTCAAAATTGATAAAGCATCATATTTATAAATTCTTCCTACTTTCTTAGGATTTACCCTATCAGTAGGCTATTGAAAATTATTAGAAGACATTTCCTCTATTAATCCATATGCTTCCTTAAATGGCTTGGATATTAATGATCCTCTAGCTACATCATCTATCATTATTCTAAGAGATCCTATTATTCCATTATAAAATATTTGAATAACCAACCAATTAGGTAAAGCATGGTGATGACATTTCTCAAGCATTTCCTTAAATCTCTCCCAACTCTCACAAATTGATTCTCCTTCAAATTGGGTAAAATAATTGATTTTATTTCTAAGTTTGGCCATCTTTGAAGGTGAGAAATACTTATAAAAATAACACATGCTTCTATGAATTTATGATTTTCAATTTGTAGCATAAATTTTTAAACTTTATCTTAATTCATTATTACATTAATCCTCACTTTTAATATATGCAATTCGAATGAAATTTGCAAGAGAAAATTAAAAATTAGTCCTCACTTTAGCCCTTTAGGATAAGGCTTATGATAAAATTCAGAGCCTAAATTGATTTCTTACTCTCAATCATCTCATATGTGTATGGATAACTTTTGGTCTACATTAAAGGAAAAAATACTTAAAATATCAATATTTATTTATCAAAAAGCTTGTATATAAGAATTTTTCTTAGTTCTTGGACTTATTGGTTGATGGGTTTGACCACATTCAAGGCATTCATGCAGTGATATAATTATGCTAAACCCAGATTTTAGAAATCTTTTGTACTAATATTTGCATAAAAAGAGGGAACGATGATTTGCAAGAGATCTTCAACAAGGGAGCTCCCTTCAGTCCAAGATAATATGGCATAAGATCTAATTTAGCTCCTGCTTCATTCACTCATTTATAAAGCCGGAAGCCATCTTTTTGCTTTACATTTGAATGAATGAGTCAGCAGCTAGCACAACCTTATAACCAATCATTTTTGGACTGTTGGTTGCTCTCTTTAATAAATTTTTAGCCCTTTTCCCTGAGAGAGAGAGAGAGAGAGAGAGAG